ATGGGAATGCCACCTAAATGGTGAAAAGTGGAGATAAAATCACTTTCACATAGGGCTATATTGATAATAACAGACTATCTCCAAGGAGAACTGACCCAAACAAAAATGTCATCCATTTTCAGATGGTTCCCAAAAGACTATTTACGTCTCTTGAGTTGTGCAAGGGCAAGTAAAGGGCTTGTCCAAGACTTAAACTATGCCTGCTGTCAGTTTTAAAGCTGAGATTCATAGGATTAAAAGTGAGTGCTGCAGCAAACTGTGCCTTCTTCTGGAAGCAACAATGTAAGTAGTCATAATGTGAAAGAAAATCCTTCCTTTCAAGTTGCCGTCTCCAGTGTACCAAATCCCTTCTCTCTCTTTTCAAAAATCCTGTCATAACAAGCTTTAGTCCCAGCTGCTTCCATCAGGAAGATGCCCAAACCAGTGGAGTTGCAAGAGAGGGAAAAAGAGGCACTGCAGCCCACACCTCCACGTCAAGCTTTAAGTATATAAAAAGCAGCTAACAAAGGGAAGAGAAGGCAGCTCGTGAAAACCCAAGTGCATCTAAAGGAAGGGAAGTAATGCTCCGAAACACCTCATGGGGTTGTGGGCAGGGCAGCTCCCACCACAGGTAAGTCAGCACCTTACTGCTGGTACTGGTCAACCGGAGGACAGGTATGCTTATACGCTCTAAGTAGAGCCAAGTCTCTTAAGCTTCGTGCGAAGGTTGAGCAATGGAAACATGTTTCAGTATAGACTGTTAAAGCCCACAGGTCGACGTGACCCAGATTGACAAAACACAAGGAAATCTGAGGCAACATGTTACTAGAAGAGGAATTGTCTCTCTCAAAATTTTCCATTTTCTTAAACGCTGACGGAAAGCTTGATGCAGGATGATAATTTACCAGATGGTCAGTGTCAGAAAGAAGTTTCCTGAATATAGGCAGTACTGACACTTTCTTAAGAAAATCTGGCAGTTCTCCCTCCTGAGGAGAGATGTTGAGAATTTCCCATAATACTGACCCAGTTTCCTTTGGTAACTCCAGCACTGAGGGAATCTAGAGATAGGGTAGCATTGTATCCCCTTTTCTTTCTGAGGTGTTGCTCCATTTCTGTGGATACCTCCTGCTCATTGTGAATTAGAAGGATTTTTAGGTACCACTGAAAATACTGAACAGGGTCTTTGTAATATGTGGTAGAAAAAGATTTAGTAGTCCATTTTCTTCCAGCCCCAAACGGTGAATATTGGGTTTGTAAGGGATGCAACCTAGATACAAGAAATACCTCTCTGCTTTCTATACAGCAAAGGCATCAAACACATGATGTAGTCAGTCAGCTCCTGATCTTGACTTCAGTCACTCACCAAGTGTTAGAAATCACCTATAGACAGGGGTGTTGTGTGGGGAAGGGTTACTTGTCTTGGAAACCATTGCTGCTTTAAGAGATTTATGGTCTAGTGTTACGGATCTGATTTTCTGGATTGTTAAACTGCTGTTACAGTTGGCAGATTCTCATACTAGCAGAGTTGAAACTGTGTCCTCAAGAGCATTGTTATAATCTAAATCTGCATATGCTCCTATTTTTGCATTATTAATACTGGTGTAGATGCTAGGAGATCATAAAGCTAAACCGTGGGAGGTAGCTATTTGCTGCCCTGAGTGAGTCCCATCTCTTTTCTTCTAGATCAGTATAAATTGTCTCTCTACTTCGTCACTTGGAAAAATCCCTGCTGTATTGCTTTTCTGGAGAAAGGGAAGAGGAGAGGATGAGTTCTAGTTAAGCGTATATTTAAAGTTTAGTTATGTATTTTAATTATCATACACTCCAATCTGTAGGTTTGAGTTACTCATGTGTCTTGTTGAAGCTTACCTGTGCTAGTTCTCAAGACCATAAGCCCTGGGTCTCTACTGGGCCAAACACAGACCAGAGCTTTCTTGAAGTGCAAGCTCAATTCAGCTGTATATCCACAATTTTTTTTTCATATTTAATCTGTGAGGAATTAGTCTCCAGAGGACGACTTTTCCTCTGGGAGTAGTTTGAGAACACAGAAACACCTGAAATTGTGATCAGGCTTTGAATCCTAGTAACAGCTTGGTGATGGTTAAGAGGAAAAGAAAATCTTGGGAGGCCTTTGTCTTCAGCTAAAATATTCTTTGAAATTCAGAAATGTGCTACCACGAACATCATCTCAGGTAATAAGGTGATCACTGAAAAGCCACAAGAAGAAAACTACAAGCTGCATAACTGGCAGAGGTTTTCCGTGTGATTGTGGTCAACCAAGCAGTTTTGGGATTGGCAGTAAAACTGCCCATGAGAGTAACCTGGTGGCCAGTGAAAGAAAGGAGCAAGACAGTCTGTCCCTTTAGAAGGCTTCTAGATGTGAGGAGGATACATGCAAGTACTAATCCTGGTAGCTGATGAATCAAAACCTTGGCAAAGCGTGTTTTATTCCTATCACTGGGCTGTCTCCTACAAGTTCCAGTGTCTGGTCTTTAAAAGTCCTTGGAACTTGCTGGAGGAAAATTTCAGTTGGAGCTGAACACAGCATGTTATATTTTGAGGCTTTGATTATTCTGGGCCTGACAGGCTCATGGAGATTTCATTGCCTCTGGGCAACATCTGCAGCAAAGCCTTGTAACAAAAGGATTGAGTGGCCTCACAGGGCTCCTTGATAGCCTGTATTGCATTAGAAGGAAGATGTGGTTATGTAGTCAGGGTAATTAATTAGCATTTCCATAAGCAGTCACAAGTCCTGTTAACCTTGTAAATGCAGGAGGAAGGAATGAAGCACAGATGTGAAGGCTCTGAAGATAAACTCTGCATGTGTGTGTTCACTTGATTTTGTTGATGAGCTCCACTAAATTCTTTCAAGATCAACCTTAATTTAGCATGGCTAAGGATGCAAATACACCCAACATCTGTTCACGTCTCCATGGCAGCTCTTTGGCGACCAGTGCTACAGCAAGATCTTAAAATAAAACAATACAAAACACCCTGCCACACTGAAGGGAGAAGCTATTGGTCAGAAGTAAGATGTGGAGCTGGCCGAGGAAAGATAGAGGTCCCTGGACTTTGCCTGTTTGAAGTAACATTTTAGTTCTGGTAATAAAAGCTGCATCTTGTCTGCAGACCAGTTCTCATCTCATATTTGTCTGCTACTGAATGTCATGTTTGCCTTTATCCAGCTGATAATAGCTCCTCTTTCAGGGAGCCCAATTTGCTGGAGAAGTTTCACTTCTGTTTACCACCACCTCCACCCCGCGTCCTCAGTTCTTTTTCCTTCTCCATTGCCTTTCTCATTCTTTTGTCCCAGTCATGTGGGGGAATTGTTTCCCCTTGAAGCCCTGTTGCTTTTCCTCCTGATTTTAGACTTGTCCCCTGCAGAAATATACGGCCCTTCGCAAGCGGGTGTAGCTCAAAGTACCTCTGAAGAAGCTTGTTTTTCTGTTTCTCTGGTTCGTTTGTACTAAGGGCAGGCGTATCACACCTCCTAGCATTTATTAAATTATGAGGTGTGACAAGCCACTGCTTCAGGAATGATTACAGGAAAGCGTTCAGTGTCTGGTATCCTGGGCTTGGAGGGTGACTGTCCAAAGACCTGTTGTCTCATCAGATCCCTTGGCTGAGAGCGCAGAGCCGTAGCGTTATCACAGAGGAAAGAGGGAAATTATTCTAACGCTTCATTCAGCATAATTCTGCTGGTATTTTTGAATAAGGACATAGAAAATAAATGCCAGAAGAGGCTGTTCTTGACCCTGAACCTTGAGTTGGAAATATCTAACAAGAGGGGCAGGGTAGGATAGGAAGAAGACAACTCAACACCCTTTTCCTTGTTCCCGAGTCATTTGGCTAGGCTCTTCCCAAAGCTTAAAATATATATTTTTATTTTTTTTTCTTCTGTCTCTAAAGTTGGGGGCCCCAGCTTGGTTAAAGCCCAGAACTCTTGTGTGTCTTTCTGTTGCTTCTGGCGCCACAGAAGTAATTGGTTGATGATATTAGGAGTCTTGTAACTTTCAAAGCTGTATATCTTTCCTCTTTTATAAGCTGGCAACAGATGAATTTTAGGACCTTTTAAAAAAATTATTGAGAACTTTGGAGCCAGTGGGGCTCCTGCTTGTGCCATACAGTGATTGTGTAAAATAAATGTCATGTTAGTTCAGCATGTAGAGAAGAATGGGAAGGGGACCAATAATGCCTAAGGGGTAAGGAAAGTTCTCTTGCTCTGCTCATGGTTTGGGTCAGGGGATTTTCTGATGGCATGTCTCCCTGCTGCAGCAGTCATCTCTGCTTGTCAGAATATGCTGTTTCTAGCTTAGTCCTGTGCTCAGCAGAGCTAAGTCTGTTTTGTGGGTTTGGTTTTTTTCCAAATCACACTTGGTCTGATCAGTGAGACGCATCTCTGCAGCTTTGCCTTCCACAGGGTTCTGTTTGTTTTAGTCTCTTGAGCAATTTGGAAATGCAGAGTACGTGTACACAAGCACAGGCTTGGAAATGCGGAAATGTTGCTGCGGGTTGAGCTGTCTCTTCAGTCACTTTTCAAGAATTACATTTTAGGCTTAAACCAACCCAAGCTGTGGTCTAACACATCTAGGCCATGCCCTTCTGTCAGTGTAACTCTGGCCAGACTTTCACTCGGAAATAAATGACAAATTACTCCTTGAAATGAGACATTTAAAAATAGATCGTGACTACTTTCAACCTCTGCAGCCTACGCTGGTGCCACAACTGCTCCTGTTGCTCAGTCTTTACCAGCAGACCCCGCCACACAGCAACCAGCACTGTGTGCCCATATCTGGAAGGGCCATGCCAGACTCCAATTGCTCTGTTGAACTCCGGCATCTGTCAGTAGCTCATCAAATCACATCATGACCGCTAAATACTAGTGAATGGGTAGGAGGAGGAAAGAAACACCTTGCTGTGTTGGTGAGCTGTATTTAGTACAGCTTAGTCATCCTATGTGGAAAGGATGTAACATGTACACTTACTCATCTGCTATGTAGAGAGGTACTGTGTACACTTACTCATCTCCTATGTAGAGGTTGGGCCAGACTTCATTGACGTGAGTGTACTTTGGGCATCCTTTCCAGAAGAGTCGCTCCAATTCGAATGCACCTGGGGTACAGTATTCCTCATCAGGATCTGCTTTGATTGCTGCGTATGCATTTTTCTTCCCAGCATTCAAACCTGCTGATGACATCTTGTCCATGGAGTAGTGCACTCAGGATGTGCCAGCAACTGGAATGCAATCCAAACAGAATGTTAAGAACAAAGCAAGTGAGTTCTGCTCCAGCTGTAGGATGCTGAGAGCAACACTGGCCAGCTGTGATTGAGCTGGGCATGGTATGAGATGGATGTATCTGCTCTGTGGCAGACACAGACTTGCACCTGGATTTCCGCCTCCCCTGAACTGGGCAAGGAGTACTTTGTTGGACAAGCTCACCAGCAACGGGAGCAAAAGGCAAAGGTTTGTGAGCACTGAAGTTTGATCTCCACTGGGAATTAGTTTCCTGGAAAATCCACTGGTAAGAATTTTAGGTCTAGCAGCCGGACCCAAGGGATCTAGAGCAGCTAGGGGAACTGAGTCAGGGAAATTTAAGATGTTACTTCATCATTAATTGTGAATCTCCTAAAGGATTCTCCTTTATGTGATTTTCAGCAATGCAGGGAGATTAAATGTGTCCGTTCAGGTGGATCCTGGGTGTACTTGTGTACTCTTTCAAGATCTTAATGCACACTGAACCTTGTAGGCTTTGTGCAGAAATAAGAGTTTGCCTTTTTGCAGCACCACTGACTGACAAAATATTTTTAGCTAGGATGGGCTCAAGGACTTCCTTCTTTTCGGGTTCACTCTTTTTTTTTTTTTTTTTTTTTCCTAACCTAGATGTATACATGCCAAGTGGGTAGGAAGAAGCACTGATGAACATATAGAAGGGAGCAATGTCACGTTATCCTGTAGCTAAAATCAGAGTATCATTAATGTTGCCAAAACCAACACCCTTTGCCTGGTCGTGCTGTCAGAGTTGTATTGCTCAGAACTGACAACCTTGATCTCTCTTGTATTTGAGCTATTGGCTGGTATTGAATCCTTTGGTGTCAGCTTTACACCCCTCTTGAAGCTCCAGATTCTCTCCTGCTTGCTGTGATTTCCTCAGCTGCGGCCCAAGATGTAGACTTCCCTCTGTATAGTTTGCCTCCCTCAGCTGTGGAGTCAACAATGGGAGCTCAGAGGGCAGGCTGGAGATTTCACAAAGCTGGTGAGTGAAGTTAAAGGCCAGAGACTAACTTGAGTCTTGACACCTCCCCCATCCATGCCTTTATGAAGACACTACCTTAGTACACGGCAAGTAACTATAGGTTTGCAAGAATATTCTTGTCTGTTGGACAAGTGGGTCTTTTGCATCCATGTTTAACTTTCCTAATTCCCTGCAGCTGAAGTATCTTGGGTAAAAGCCCAATGAAATATGTGTGATACAGAGACCCTTGCACCAGCAGTGACCCTACCAGCTGCTGCCAGTGCAGTACAGCTGCAAGAGTGCGATGCTGTGCTCCTTAGCTCAGGTGGGGCACTGCACTGTCCTGTGGTATCCCCACGCATACAGTGTTGGATGTGTTCAGGTCAAGTGTTTTTCAGTTTAATTTTATTTTAATTTTTTGATTACTTGAAGAAAATTTTGCAGAGGGAGAGCTAAGGTACAATACTCCATGTATTCTCAGTAAAGAAGAAAAAACAAGGGAGAGATTGACAAGTGCTACAGGTGTACATGAGAGCTTTTCTGAACTCTGCACACTACCAGACAAATAATCATGTCAAAGATCCAGGCACAATGTCGGAGAAGAATTATTGTGAGGGGTATGGGTGTTGTAATGTCTCCTTTGGTTTTCTTCTATGGATTTGCACATTTCTGAAGGCAAAGCACGTTTTGTTCTGCAGGTTGTCAGCAGGAAGTTAAACTGCTCATGCAGCTGATCTTTATGCTACAGCAAACCTCTAGGAACTAGAATTTGGGGCTGGCTACATGCCTGACCTCCCATTTACCCTCTTGCCAGTTGTCACTTAACCATCTTTCCCTCTTGTCCTCTGAACCAAGTTTCCTTTTTTCCATGTCGCCAGCCTTCTGCTGCAGACTTTCTTGTCTGCTCTGTCTCCCTGTTGGGTCGGTCTTGGTTCTCCTGCTGGACTGCCTGATGTCTCAAGGCAGCGGTTGCTCCTGTTTCTTGTCCTCCTGAAGGGAGAAGTTGAACCTTGCAGTTCTGTAGGAGACTTGTGAAAGAAGACGTGGAGTTGGGCTTGATCTTACAAAGTGTGTGAGTACAGTCTGCCAAAATCCACCATTCTTGCAGGCAACAAATCCTGTACTGGCTCCCACAAATTTTTTTGTGCTGGCTGCTGGTGACATTTGTGTCCTTTTAATTACAGAAATCTGGCTAGTGCCTTCGTGCAGCTGTTGTAGAGCTCTCCTGCAAGCAGGATGACCATTTTTCACTGACATCCCATGTGCCCATGGGGTTTGTTTCCCCAGTTTGGGCTCTTTTATGCCTGTCATGTTCTGTTTTTCCACAAAACTTGAAAAAGCAAAATGATTCCTGTTTTCCTACTCCAAAGCTAGGCAAGATTATGGAGTCAGTTTTTGTTTGGCATGTGTACACCTTTGTTCAAAAATTGGCTTGCTTACACTGGCAAGGGGATCTATCTTTCAGCCAAGCTGAAACATCATGATGATGATGTTCAGCTAAGTGGTCCTCTGTTGAGATTTGTAAAGGGCTCTGAGAGTTGCAGTTTCTAGCAAATTTACCTTGTTCTTGGTCTTGCGTGCCTCTGAGTAGCACCAAGTCCCATCTCTGTGCCCCCGGTAGCCATTCCCTTTTTCCTTCCTGTGCCAGAATTATGCTAGTTCTGCATGCAGACTTAACAGAGTAGATAATGTTAGACTGTCGGAGATACAAATTTAAAACAGTCTGACTTTGGGAGAGAATAGGCTGTTGTCTAGAACTTGATAAGAGCTGCTGTTTGTCTAGTAAGGAATTATCTTCACTGAGAGCCTGTTGCCTTGATGCTGAAGGACTGACACTGCGTTTATTCACGGCTCCGTAACATGGGAGGGGAGGAAACGAAGGGAAGAAGAGGAAGCAATGTAATCAGTAATCGCACTCGGTGGCCACAGCACATTGATTTGTTACACCAATAGTCCTGCTTGTAGACTGCAGACCTCAAAATAGGGCAATTACATCTGCAAACGACCGTTTGTGGTACTGTAACACCGTCTCAGTTTGAAGCTTGGTTAGCACTCTCAAAGTTAGACCTCTGCTGAGAAATACTTGTTTCTGTCTGTCCTGGGAAGCCATATGCTCCCTGAACTTTCAAGTAAGCTATGTTCTTTTATGCCTTGCCAATGTTATCTGCTGCGGGGATTTTTAAATTGAATTAGAGCACAGGAAAGCATCAGTTGAAGTTCCTCTAATAAAATATGTATTTCAGATTTTACTCTAGACTAAGTAAGAAGTTTAACTAGAATGGGTGGGAAAGAGGAAAAAAGGGGCTGGCTTGCTACTTGAGCTCTGGAATTAATTGCCATGAAGCACTGGGTTGCGGGGAGAAGGACGGAAAGGCTTGTGTCTTTGCAGGAACCAGGGATGTCTAACCTCATCTAGTAATGACTGCTCTGTGTACACCAAAGGGAGCTGTGGGAAGACTGTTCCCTTGGCCTGCCTTCTTGGATTTAAAAAAAAAAAAAAAAAAAAAAAAAAAGAAAAGTGGACTGGAATTATTTTTTTTTGTGGTTGTTCTTAATACTGTTGTGGATATAAGGACGACTGTTTGTCTATATAAGGATGACTGTCTAGCACAAGCCCAAGCAGGGAAAGCTAAGATTTTTTTGCAGATCTCTGGTGGGGGGAGATGGTCCCTTGCAGGGTGTTCACCGGGCACAGTGGCATGGCGGGCAGACTGCAGGTTTTCCCCTGCACAGGCTCGTCGGAGCAGCCTCCCACCCCTTGCAGTGCTTCACTTGGGCTAAAATGCTTTGCCTGATAGACTAATTAGTGCAGGCTGAATGATGTACCAGTGCAGCTTTCTTGTACCAGCTTGGTGGTTGCTTCATGGCACCACACTGTGCTGGGGACACACAGCCTTGGATGTGAAAGCCCTTTGGGGTAGGGATGGTCCTCACGTCCTTTGCATAAGAGGCTCTGCACCCTGCTTGCTCCTGGAAGTGCTGCTCCAGCACGGGACAGCCTTTCTTATTTCATGGGGGAGGGATGAAGAGAGAGTCAGCTAGCCGGAGCAGCCCTCGTCCCAGAGAGGTTCTCCTTGGCTGGAAGGTTTGAGCCCAGCTTCGGGGCGTAGTGAGGAATGGAGCCATGCACTGGGGCCAGCAGTTCCCTTCCAGCGAGGCAGGGCAATCTGCAACTCGTCCCGCTCTTGCCCTGTGCCCAAGCCACGGCTTCTCTCTCACTCTCTGCTGCCCTGTGCCAAGGTCAGGTTGGGCAGGCTGCTGAGACCTTCCCCTTCCCTCTCTGCGCCCACCCTGCAGTGGTGGGTTGGCAGCCGAGCGCTGGGTCCACCTCAGTGGCACTGGGGTACGATGCTCAAGCCTGCACGATTTCATCTGCCGAGCCTGACGCCCTGTGGGTTGTTCTGCTTCTCAGTCCAGCGTGTGACTATAACACTGAACTGCCAGTGCTCACCAATTATGCTGTCATGGACTTAAGTGTATTATCGGAACAAGGATGATAAAAATTCAGTCATCTGCATTTTTATACCCTAATCTTTCTCTTAATAAATAAGACCAAAGTGCATGTTATCTAATGAATTTTATTTGTTAATCACTTGGATGGCTGGAATATTTCTCCCCCTTGGGTTATATGTATACAAATGAAAATATTGTTAGTGATTTCACAAAATGGTAATTCAGAATAATGGAGACTTAATCCTCTTTTCATTAGCGAGCCACTTCAGGACGTACACTGTAGCAAATTACACTGCATTTTAAGTCGTTCTCAAGTGCTGTGCACTAGAAAAAAAAAACATTAAACTACTTCTGCATTGATAGAAGTAATTGTGTGGCTAATTTGGATAAGCAGCATGCATTAGGCACAGCAAAGGAATCTCTTCTTTATGTTCGCTATCCACTCTACAGCTGCCAAATGGAATTGCTTATAGGGCTCTTCAGCTTTTTTATTTTATTTTTAACAAAACGGGGAGGGAGGAAAGAAAGTGCAAGGGGAAAAAAAAAAAAAGGGAAATCTGCCAGTCTATCTGCTTTTAATTTGGAGAAGGAACACAGTCTAGTGGCTGGAGCAGTGATATGGCAGTGAAAAATTTCCTTTCTGTGCCTTGTTCTGAGTCCCTTGAACTACCCAAATTAAGCCAAAATTTCCAGGAAAGCTCTGAGAAGTCACAGACCATAGTGGCCCCTTTTCAAATTTGTTCAACTGGAGGGATGTGCCTCCCTCACCCCAAAATTTGTAGAGGGTTAGCTAATGCTTTTGGAAACATCAGTCATGAGCTCTACAGCTTGGTAATTCCACAGATAGGGGGGAAAAACCTGAGGTTCATATCTAGAGGTGAACGTCAGAGCTTCAGTGGTGGCGTGTACATTTCTAATGCTGGTTTTCCAGATGTGGTGGAAGTTTCTGAGTACTTTGAAACTGAAAGCTATAAGTCATTATCTACATTAAAAAAATACTATGCTGCTTAATATTTTTGGCTCAACGTGCTGTGCAAGCCTTAGTGCTGTGTATAAAGATGTAAACAATTTGGCAAGATTTATGCCTGGGAGTTAAGATCCAAGTCAGCTGTAGAGATTTAAAAAAAAAAAAAGCAGACATGCACAGAAAAGGCCTTTGTCCTTTGGAAGGACCTATGTACCTTCTCCCCTTCTTTTCTGCCCCCCTCCCTGACCCAAGGGGGGTTCCTTCATCACTGCTGTTGTCCCAAGTGTACATACTCTGCCTGCCAATTTGTAGCTGTGTTTGTGTGCCTGAAGCTACACATCCCCAGTACAGTCGGAGCCCGATGGTATTGATACAAACAAGCAAGGAGAGAAACTAAACAAATAAAAGGTGGGAAGAAAAATGGAGACAGAAGACAATTTCCCCCCTCTTTCCTTCAGAAGGAACACTGTAATCCTGTTAGCTATTCTGTCCTGCCTGACATAGGGCACAGGGCTTCCTTGCCTTAGTGCCCACTTCAGTCCATATTTATATAGCAGAATAGCTGAAATTCTTTACCACCCGTGTTTCCTGCTCATGGGAGTTCTCCCAGCCCATGTGACATCAATCACCTGTGCTAGTGAGGCTTTTGATGCTGGCTTTATTAGATTTAATTTGGTGTGCACAAGTGTACCAGCCTCGCTTTGTACACAGAGAGTTGTCTAAAACCTACTGCTCCCTGAAAATACCAAGCAATTGCAAATTCTTCTGGTTTAGCTGGGAATTGAAGGTTTTCAGCAGCCAGCAAACACCTAAATATACAGACTATTTGTAAATGTGAAGGCAGATTTTAATCTTATTCCTGTTTTGATGCTTTCAGATTTTGCTTCCTACCTCTTTCCTGATGACAGCTCTGGAAAAGGAGTGGAACTGTGATATCTTAAGGTTTGGGTTTGGGTTTTTGGTTTGTTGTGGTTTTTTTTTCAAGATGCCAAGAAAGGGGAAAAAAAATAACCAAAGCAGGCTATCTGTCAGCTCTGGGCCTGCCATGAGAAGTCTACAGAAATAATGATGTTTCAGTAGACCTTATGCCCACACCAGTGCAGTAGGAGATAAACATGGTGCCCTTGAAATTAGTCAGTGGTTTGACCCTCAAGTCTGAGGAGTGACTTTATCTACTGCCATGAACACTAAATTTGAAAGAACAATAAAGGGGGAAAAAAAGCCTGTAATTATGATTAAGAAATCACTTTTGTGCATGAATTGCTTGTTACTGAGAAATTATTCCTATTTTCTTTTCTGATGTATGGAGAGCTGACTTATTTTAATGTTTTTATTTATCAGGTAGAATTAAACACCACTGAAATCAGAGGACATCTATCTTCTAGGGTGTCCAAAGCTTTTTGGCTTCCAGACAACTGCAAAAATAATGCTTTTATTTACTTACACCTTTCAGTTTAGTACCTACCATAGATTGGACCTTTGAGGAGAGACAGTGTCTGTAGCAAGTGTGTACAAGAGAGGGACGTACCTGAAGAAGGTAAGGATGGAGAATACCAGTTTTTCTATACTTTCAAAAAAACAAAAAAAAAACCCCAAAAAATGTACAAAAGGCTTGAATCCAGTTTACTGATCTGTTTCCAGGGAAGCAGTCTTTCCACGCTGAAGGCAGACAAAAATCAATTCTAATGACTGAGGGTCTTCAGAAATAGCAAGAGGGGACCCTATTGAGCAAGTTCCTGAATTATTAAGAAATGTTTTGTTCTTCCATTTCCAGCTGGCATGCCAGGTACATACCTCCCTTCAGGGTGAAGAAGTACATACCCTTTTTGAGTATGACTAAGCAGAGGGCTGTTTTATAAACTGGAAAGTTCTCCTTGCAGAAGCCAGTGCACATACCGTCTGGAGCGCAGTGTTTGCACTTGGGAGGAGGGTAAACAGTGCTTTGGTTTCTAAGCTGTCCGTGACTGCAGTACATCAGTTGAGCTGAGAGTTGGTTAGCTGCAGTAGCAAAAGCTTGCTTTGTCGGGTGATTTAACAAAATGAATTTAAAATGGTGTTCCCTGATATGCCGTCCCTATGACATTTTGCTCAGGCTCCAAGCACCAGCAACAGCCGTGAAGAGCTGTTTGCTTTCCTGTGTAACCTGGCGCTGGCTGCACCCCGAGGGGCTGCAATGAGGTACGGTGCCACAAAGGCTCCTTGGGTGGGTTTTTTTGCTAACACTAGACTAAAAAAAAAAAAATAATTTTGTGCAAATACTTTTTGGGACGGAGGAGGAGTAAAGCTTTCAAAAAAAATCTTTCTCTAAAAGAGCTCTAAAAGAATTAAGCAAAGTGGTGTACACCCAAAACTGGAAAATGCTGGGGTATCTGCAGGATACTTAAGAGAAGAATAACACAACCCTGTGTTCCTTATTCCTGTCCTAGTCTTCACCAAAAACTGTCATTTACTGCAGTTGCTTTATTTTACTTCTGCGTTCTTATGCTTGAAGCATTGAGGGACTGTAAAAGAGTTCATCCAATGCATTTGTCTTTAAACAGTTTAAAACCAGAAGAATCATAACCTCAGTGCAATAATTTCCCAGACCCTCCTGCTGTGAATATTCAAAACTAACCAGTTATTTCAATGAATTTCTAAGCCACAGATGACTTTTTAAAAACTTATTTTTGCCCTCATTCTTTATTGTTGACTGAACTGGTTAATTTAAAACAGATTAAGCTGAGATTTCATTAAATATTATGAGGGTGCCCAAAGAAACTTAAAACACAGCGTCTTCTGATAGAATTGTAATTCAATTGGAAAAGTTAGATTTGTCTGTAGGGTGGAGCAATTATGGAAGAATAAACAAAATATTCTTGGACAGATGTCACAAAAGCTTGAAAAATTGCATTTTTATTTCTAACTTTTAAAATTTAAATTGAAATTATCTCTAAGATAATAGTTTAGGCACCTAACTTCCAATTTGATACAGTAATTTCTGTGACATGACCAATTTGTTTTTTGAAAAATTATAAGCTATACTTTCAAAACATCTTTGACTCTGCAATAGTTTTAACTTCATAAACTTGTTGCAGGAAAAAAAAAGCTTATCAGTTACCTTAGCAAGTTTGCCAGGTCTCAGTCCTCTCCCTGATTTACTAAACTAGGTTATAAAAGGAAGCAAAGGAGCACAAGAAGTACAGCAGAAAATGTATGTTGCTTAGCCTTACCTGTAAGCTTAGGTAGCTGCTCTAGGTAGCTGGGTCCTGTGAAGTGCAGCAGAACCAACAAAAGAAATCTTACCAACTTTGCAACTAGAGTCTATTTTTAGAGGAGGATTTGCTGACTCTGACCTTGAGTGCTACCCACTCCAAAGGACGATCTTTACATCTGCTGGTAAAACTATTCCCTGATGTGACCTGAAACATTAAACCTGGCAATTTAGCTACCTAGCCTCAGTATGACTAAGATAACGTGATGCCTGCATGTCGACTATAATAAAACAAAACTCACCTTTTATCTTCTTACCCCCTTGTCAAGCCCGATGCTATGTGGTTTAGCAGCATTGCGCTGCTGTTTTCTGTCATGTCGTGCACAAGTGATTTGGCACTGGCGCAACGGGCAATGGGAGAGGTGTCATCCTGACAAAATCCTCATCTCTTGCATGTGCACCACCAGAAAGCTACCATCCCCTACCTACTCTTGGTTTTCTCCAGCGCTGCAGCTCTCTGTATCCATCTGACTTCTGAAATGCCTTTCTCTGCTGAGAAAGGGATGTGGTGCTCATCCCTGCTCAGCTCTGGTGACATGGGCTCAGCCCACCAAAAAGAGGTGGAGGTACATTCTCCAACCTTTGAAAAACTCCCTACTTTCCTAAAAAGTTTTCCTGAAAAGCTCCATGCCTTCCTAATGCAGAAAGTCTAAAGCTTTCTGTAGTAAGCCAGATTCATCAAGGATCAAATCTGGGTTCCCCGGTGTCAGAGCTGCACCTCTTCTACTCCAGCGCTCCGTCCACTGGGAGAGTGGTGAGCTTCATGGCCCACAGGGCTGCCTGCTAGAGGGATTGGTGATCGCCTCTGAGGAGCTGGTACACAATACCCTCTCCCCAAACGTTTGTTCTGCAGCAAACCATGCCTCAGCGTTGCCAACTTCATTAGGAATAATGGGATTTTGGCGCTGCGGGAGCCAGGCTTTGCAATGGCATAAGAAGCTCTAGCTGTCACGTAAGTATCGATATTTCTCAGGGGAAATTCTTTAGATCTGTTGTTTTCTGCCTGGGAGTGGGGGAAGGAGGCAAAGAGACCAGTCAGGACAAGCACATGATACTGGGATGTAGCCCATTGGTCTCTGCACCTGCTTTTTGGGGCCTCCTGGCCCTGTCTATTGAGATGACCATCTTGAAAACGATCTCTCTGAGCAGACCTGCTGCTTGCTTATCTTGCAGGCTCACAGTGCTCCCCACTCTCACCCCAGTGCACGCAAAAAGCAGCCAATTGTTGATGTATACTTACCACGGAACTTTTTTCATCTCTTGCAAGAACAGAAAGTCTTCTGTGAACACAAATGCCTGTGCCTGACCAATGTTTCAGGTTGCCCAAGTGTTTTTTCCAAACTATCCAAGTCCCACTGTAGGTGCCATTAATTTTTAGTGGGACACAAGTTCCTGACTATGTCAGTTATCTCTAATGTTACTTCAAATCCTTCCACCACCTCTGTCATCCCCTCTCTGTTTAAAAGATAAAAGTTCATCCCAGAAGGACCAGGACCAGACTTGGTCATGGCGTGGGGCTAATACTGCAGTACAGATGTGAAGTAATAACAGGCAGTTTCAGTTCAAGGTCTGGGCATTGGATCTGCTGCTGTTCCATGCTAACAGCATCGCTCCAGCCAAGTTTCTGTATTACAGAGCAGCCAAGCTCCTCCCTGCCAATTATTCAGATAGTCGCTCTTAAAATGAGAAAGAGCTTAGATGTTGGAAGCCTGCTGTGCCTTCTAAGTTACCTTGGAAGGTTGTTGTGCAAATTAATTCTATACTGATAACAGAGAAACTTCACGGAGGAGGAGATACAGACACCATATAACAGAAACTAGCAGCGGTTGTTTTATTTTTATCCCTGCAGCCGACCCAGTATGGGGGAATATGGGTAAGATGATACAGCAGACGGGCAGTGCTGGCGAGAGGAGGCTGCTCTGTAGGTGTGCGATGGAAGGTCTGTGCGCCCCGGGTGACACGGTGTGGGGATGGTCAGTGGTCTGTTGCTTCTGTTGGGCTGTCACTCCTCAGGGTTGTCTTTCTGATGTCAGACTGATGGCACGACAGTGTTTTGTGGTATTGTTTTTTCAGGCTGGCATTTTGAGTTCCGGGAATATTAAGCTGAAACAGAAGTATTTGTTTGTCTGCCTGGCTGTCAAAACAATATGAGCCCTTGTGCTCCTCTCTCTGTAGGGTCCCAGGAACGTGTAGGGAGGGATCGTTCACCTCCTGGAAAAATGTTCTATTTTGGGGACCAGTTGTGTGTGTTTCCATTAGTTTTGCTTTTGTTAAGTAAAAAATATTAGCTGCTGAGGTGTTTTGAAAGTGGCCAATGACTTAGAGTGCTTTGGAGCCTGGGCACGTGGGGAACACAGCAGGAAGGCTGGTCTTTTGGAAGAGGTGAGCACCTGCCCCCTGGAAAGTTGAGTAGTTGCTTGGGCTCCTAGAAGTTTGCCATGTTATTGGTCATTTCTGAAAATCTTGGCTAAGCTGATGATGGTGCTTTGAACATGCAGATCACTCCCCCTTCCCGGACCCTTGCGTGCGTCCAGCCTGCACTTGTTCAGCATGCGGGTCCCCGATGTCGGTGATCGGCTATTGTGTGTGGTCACCCACCGGCCCCACGTGCCTGTCATAGCAAAGCGCCAGCCCCAGAACATAACCCTGGGCAAAATTCATTATCCCTTTATTTTTCATGTGTATTCTGAAAGTGTCAAAGGGCCAACCAAGATCGGCACCAGGCACTGTTCAGACATGAGGCAATTTCTGTGCTGCAGAGCTGATATTCTAGGTAGAAGACAGAAAGGAAAGGTGGGAAAAAACATGACACCCAAGCAGAATGAGCAAGACTGTGGCTGAAAAAATGCCACTGACCAGCTTTGAAGTTGGCAGTTTGTGTGGCACAGAATATGGAGCTCTTGGAAGGATGAGAGCTAAAGTCTCATTTAGGGGTGAGGGGGTGGGAAGGGGGAAAAAAAACAAAAGCTTTTTTTTTTTTTAAAAAAAAAAAAATCTTAAAAGGACTGAATTTCTTCCACAAACACTGGGTAAAGAAAAGAAGGGAGAGAAATGATAGATTTCTGGCCAGACCACACTAGAGGTACAGTTGGAAAAATCTGACACTCTGTTTTCTAAGGCTTGAAATTTTTATGTTAGTTTAAAATAAAAGCTTTGAGTAAAGTTCTGCTTTAGGAGACTTCCCTCCCCCATTCCAACCTGGTGGACTGGAAGATTTCCTCTTTCCTACAAAATATGCTATTATTTGGAAAAGCTGGGTTTTTTAACAATTGCATGGGAAGAATAAGTATATAATTATATAAGATTGTCCTAATGGACATTTGCAGCTGTACTGAGATGCTAACAGCATGCAGAAACCATTATGTTTCCAGTTGTTTGGCAAAAGTTAAGAAACCTTATATATATATATATATTTTAAAGTTATCCGTAAAGTAAATCCAGATGGTTCTCTCTTGCACAGACAAGCAGTCTTCAAACTAGACATATAGCTGTAGCCTGGCTATAACTTGTTTTGATTACTGCAGATAGAGAGAAATGTTTTAAATGACTGTGCACCCTCCCCGCAAAATGCTGCATGCCCTTGATTCTTGCTGAAGTCAACTGGCGTCTAAGCAGCGCTACATAAAACTTGTTTGACAATACCTTGCGTGCACGAGTATCTAGCTGGGCGTTGCTTGTTTAATTTCTCTTTATACCTAAGTTTTGCTTAATGGCCCCCATCAGGGGTTGGGGCTCTGCTGAGGCAGGCGTTGCAGACCCATAAAACAAAAAGGACAGTTACTGCCCCGTGTAACCTGCCGTTTGAGCTTGCATTCGTTTCTCTCTCTTCATCTCCCAGTTAAGGACTACCAGAAAATATTGGTGGTATGCTTATTTTTTGATTGACGTATTCAGAGCTTTATTTGATTCCTTAATAAGCGTTGTCTGTTGTGTTCGTTACTTCGTTTCAGCTAGACATCGGTTGTGCTAGCTCCTATCAGCCGGGGAATCAGAATTATGTTGACTTGTGAGACCATTCTGCAAATCAAATCAAAGGGGCGGCTTTGCTTAACAGGGCAAGGATTTCAGTGTCTGGAGGTTTTAAGTCAACACGTCAGGAACATTTCTGAAATCCTGAAAACAAGGGGAACTGAAAGGTCCATCAGAAATTATAGACTTATGGTCTGTTACTTTTTATGTTGGTTTTTTGTTAGGCAATAAGCAAGTGTTCTTGTAGATAACAGTTGATGTTGTTTGTCCAAGTAGTATAACAGGTAGAAATACTGTTTTATGAGGTTCTTAGCCAGCATTGTCAGGAGGGTAACTTGGATTTGACCTCGTAGGAGTCAAATTTACTGGCTGGTGTGTCTCTTGCTATGTCTCTGACAGGGTTAATAGCCCAGCAGTAGTGGCTGTGTTTGTAAGACAGTATTTGAGGCTAGGGATGGAGCAAGCTGCCTGGGGGCTAGGAAGAAAGGACCCCAGTCCTGAACGAGGTTTCCTGGGCTTGTGGGGGGAGGCTGGGGCCAGGGCTCTGAAAGGTGTTTTGTTCACTGTTCTGCTTTTTCTCTCGCTGTCAGCAGAAAAAACGTTCTGGGAGATTTGTGTTGAAATGGAGTATAGATCCCAAGGCGTAGTAATGTGGAAAATAAGGGATGAGGGCTTTCTTGTAACCTCCCTTCACCAAAGAATGCTGGGAACAGGAAGAGTCTGGGGCTCCAAACTGCTTACCCCCCGTTTCTCAGTTGGTGCTAAGAGGAAGCCCTGCGAGAAGAGCACCCACCAGGGAAATCCTACGCAGAGAGAGTATTAACCAGTGAGTACATCGTTCAGTGCTATGCAGGGCATCCTGGCGTGCTCCTGAGGTCCAAAAATTGGGCCCTTCCAATTGGTCATAGCATTTAAACTGCCCTACAAAGAAAATGGCATTGCTAAAATTTAGGGTGGTTTTGCCCCTGATATACCACAGTATCACACACAGGATTGCACTTAAGTTCTGTCGACGACACGATGGGAAACTGCCATATTCTGTTTCTGCTCTTATGGTCCATTGGGATAAGAAGGTTTTTTTTCTGCTGCTTCTCTATATCCTTAATAACATATTGCTGCA